TTTCTCTTTCTTGCTCTCTTTCATCTTATAAATAGGGTACCTCGGTTAATGGTTGCTAGATGAGTGTACAAACACGTTCAAGAAAGTCCTTTCCTATTACCACTTATTAATAACCTGGTTACCTACAAAAACATCATGATTCTTTGGGTCAGTACCAGCGTTGCCCACACGGCACCTATATCAGTTCTACGAAAATATATCAAGCTTCAATTCCGGTGCCTCTGAGCAAACTAGAGTTGGTGAAACCTAATTAAAAATATGTATCATTCTATCCAGAGTTGGGAATTGTTCTTGCCGTTGACCTCCTCCAAAGTAAGGGCCATTCAGCAAATACTTACTGTCCCCGTCCGCGTGCCACTCTCCTCAGTTGTCTTACTCAGGATAATCAAGATAAGTAAAACCATTCCATTTCTTAGATATTTAACATTCCAACAAACAGAAAAAAGCTCTCTCCTCACCCTTCCCGAGGCTGTATGTCTTCCCTCTCCCACTCGTAGAACGTGACCTGGAAGTTCACGGTCTTGACCTCAGAGCTGGTTTTCTTTCCATCTGCTAGGATGTTGAGTCACTGAGTCATCAAGAGGAATGTCTCCCACTGAACATCACACCAGAGCAGCTAGACTTCCAGCTATGCTGGCTGGTGACCTGGTCACCCCTGAGGGGACGAGATGGGAGATGTGGGAGGTGGACAGCCTGCTCCACGCAGACGGTCACCCCATGGTGACCTTACCTGCCAAACCAGTGACTCACCCCCCCGCCCCCCAATTTTCCCCCCTCCTAGCCAGATCTTGCTCATTTGGAATACCTGAGGGGAATACCAGCCTCCCTGCATTTAGCGAAAACACATGATTGTGAGCTATTTTTAAAGGTGTGACATTTTCTTACTTTCAAATGGAGGCCGCAACCCTGCAAAGCCAGGGTCTTCTGTTAAAGCTGCTCCTGCTTTAATAAACACATGAGAAGCCCCCTCTAAGAGAAAAAGTTAAATAAGCATGGACAGGGCCAAGGCGGTTTCCTCTTTTTTAAAAAGATTTTTTTCATTGTAGTAAAATATATATAACATTTATTGTAACTATCTTTCAATGTACAATCCAGTGGCATTGAGTACATTCACAGTGTTGTGCAACCATCACCGCCATCCATTTCTAGAAGTTATTCACCATCCCAAACAGGAACTCGGTACTGATTAAACAATAACTCCCATGCCCTCCTCCCCTCAGCCCCTGGGAACTACTCTACTTTCAATTGCTGTAAATTCATCTATCCTAGAGACCTCATACAAGTGGAATCAGGCAAAATTTGTCTTTTTATGCCTGGCTTATCTCACTTAATGTCTTCAAGGTTCCTCTATGTTGTAGCACGTGTCAGACTTTCATTCCCTTTTAAGGCTGAATAATATTCTAGTGTGTGTATACGCCATATTTTATTTATCCATTCATCTGTAGATAGACATTTGGGTTGTTTTCACCTTTGGCTATTGTGGTGGTTAAAGACTTTTTTTTTTAGTAATTAAAAAGTCCTCTCTTCTTGAAGTTCACTTGTACATTAAGACTAAAATGACCAGTTCTGACAACTTCCCACAAGTGTTGTGAAGATGGCATTAGATCCTGGGTAGGGAAGTGTCTTTCAAAACTCTAAAACGTCCTGTAAAAATGTTCTCACCTTGTTTATACTATTAGTTTAGCAACCTTTTTCCCCATAGAGATAAAAGGAACCCTAGCCCTAGCCTGCTTCCAAAGTAGAATACAGTTTAGATGGAAATGGTCCAAATAGGCGAGGTTTTCTGGGGCTGCTTGTATACAACACCCTGTCTCCATTCTCCCCAAAGCAGAGTGCAATTGTACAGAATGCCTGCTTTGCCCAGGACAGGCTTCTGTTAATGACTCAGTATTCATCTGTTAGCTTTGGGACATGTGCCTTGGTTTCCTTATCTGCAAAGTGGGGACCAAAGTAATAGAACCGCCCTCATAGCTTTGTTGTGAACATGAATTGTAATGATCGTGGAAGGTTTAGCACAGGGCGTGGTGTATGGTGGGCATTCGATCAATGTTAGCTGCATTTATATTATTTATGTACTCCTTATTCCTTCTTTAGGAGTATTTTTGCCCTGACCTTCTCAATTGTTAACACATAATTAAAGATTAAATGATCTCAGGGCGGTAAAAAGGCATCAATTTCAGAGACCAAGGGTCTCTGCCATTTTAACCGATGTTTTAAGCAGTTGCCTGGTAATGGTTAAGAACTCTAGTTTAGGAGTCAGATCTGATTTAACTTCGTAGCTGGTTTCAGATTAGCTGGATATTGAGTTCCCTTCTCTGTATAATAGGATAAGACCAGCCTCTTAAGCTTATAGTGAAGATTAAATGGGTTCATGTCTGTGCAACCTTGCAACTAGGTGTTCAGCACCAAGGGCTGTACTATTTATTAGCATCTCCGCTCGACCTAGCACGGTCTAAGGTGCTCAATATAAACTGGCCCAAGTGACAGAAAACAAACATTGCTCCACTGAAAGTAGATGAATCCAGCGAATCTTCCGAAGAGAATCATAAGAAACTGCTCCATGGAAAAAAAGATAAGAAAAAACCCCCAAACTTTAGCAGATTAAAAAGTCAGTTCTGTCAGGCACCTGCTGCTGTCTTTGGGCTTCGATATTTTTCAGGGCTTGTTTCTAAGACCCTGGAGCCACAGGGCTTTGAGACCGTGACAATCCGGTCCCATAAGGCACGTGGGCCTGCAGGGCGCCCCCAGAGGAGGACCCTGGACCCGCAGCCCGTCTCCTTGGGCCGCCGCCCTTGACCCAGTAGTTTCCTGAGTGGGCCGAGCTCCTGGTCACTCTGGGCGCGGGCTGGTGTCCCCCAGACTGCCAGGATGCTATCGTCTCCATGACAACAGAGGTGAACCAGAAGGCGCCGCGAGCAAGTGGTGTCATCCTGACACCGAAAGCCCCCGCCCCCGCCTGACCCCCAGCGGTGGGATTCTTCTGGGCAGGCGGTGCCGTCGCCCAGGCCGCGCAGCTCCGTGCCGCCGGCGGGCGCCCCCGGGAGGGCAGGCGCAGGGCCCAGGGCTGGCCCCCTGCCCCGCCACCCCGCCCGGCTTTTCCCGGGAGGAGTCCTCAGCTCCTGGGTGCGTCCTCACTGACAGGCCGAGAGGGAAAATCATGTCTTTGCCCAAACCAGTTTTTTCCTCTACTTTTCCCAGACTTCCCAGGAGGGTCCGAGCATTCCAACGAGACCACGTTTGGGTCAACGTGAAGGCCCTCGGGCTCCCAGCCGCTCCCCGGGGCCGGCCTAGGTTTCCCGAGAGACTCGGTGCTGGCCGGTGCCAAGGAAACGGCCCGGATCACAAGGGAACCCGGTGTCTGGGTGGACGTGGTCCAGACAGCGCTGGTCTCCATCGCCCTCTGCTGGGCAAACGACAGAGTCACTCTCAAGTTCCCTCTGGAACCTCCTGGGTATTGGGGCAGGGGGTGGGGATGGTTGTGTTTTGGGGGTGGGGTTGCTGGGCTGGAATATTAGAGATCACCCTCCTCATAAAGCAGACCAGGTAACCAGCTCAGAGAGGACAAGGGACCTGTCCCGCAGCTACCGCAGGACCACGTCGCGGGCAGAAGCTGCGTTGCACAATCTCAATGCTCTCCAGTGAGGCCTTCCCACAGCGGGCTCCTGTCTCTGAGGTTTGCATTACGTGCGCCTGCTGGGAGGACTTGGCCCATCACTGCATCACACCACCAGTTCTAACTGGGATCTGGACCCTGACCCTTTCAGGAGGGACGCAAAGTCAAAACGATTTGCATAACAATACTATTTTTCACTACTTGTCTCTCATGTGTGCAGTGGAGTTTTCCAAAGACCGCATGATGTGTGGTGCTGCAACGGGCTGAACACAGAGGCAGCAGTGAGAGCCCACCTGCCTTCTATTAAGGCAGGCATTTAAAGAGATTTGCAAAAATGTGAAACAATGCCGTTCTTCCCAGGAATTCTTTCTGTTGTAGAAAATACGGCTACTTTCATAAAACATGTGTTGATCTGTATTGTTTATTATTTCAAAGTGAATTAACAACGTTTTAAAAGTGTATTTGTTTTATTTCGAATATGGCAAATACTGATAGATATAACCCACATAAAACAAGCTCATCAGAGTCCTCAACAATCCCTAAGAATGTAAATAGTCCTGAAACCAAAAACTGTGAGAACAGCTGCTCTACGTAAAGTAGCCTCTTCCTAGTCATGTCATATCACTCTTTTATTTACTTCACAGTCCTTTTCACTAAAGAAATTACCTTGTTTTATTTATATATGAGTCAGCTGGGGATGTTGTTAAAATGCAGATTTGGGTTCCAGAGGTCTGGGGTGGGGCTGAGAGTCTGCATTTAACAAGATCATATGCGTTGCTGGTCCAGAAAAACTGTTCTAGGGTTTGCTCAGGCCCTTTCAGGCGGTGCTTGCCAGCGACCCCTCAGGTGAAAACACACCAGATGGTGGGTGGCCAGTGTCAGCAGAGAGAGAGAAAGTTTTTACGGTGAGAACCAGTTCCTCTCTGCTCGGGGCTAAGGACCACTGGAAAAAAATTGAGGGTCAGCTCATTCGCATATCCGGAGAAGTAAAAAAACAGGTGTTGGGGCTTAAGAGGAACTGGAGCTGCCTTTGAAAATATGCATTGAGCTTCAAAAAGTAAAGAGCAATTGAATTAGTGAGCATTAAATCGGATATGCTAGGGGCTACATTGCTGAAAGCTACTCATAGAATTAGTCTTCAGCTGCAGTTCTGGAATCTGCTAGAATCATCCTCAAACCTGAAAGCACAGGGTGGAGTGCTGAACAATGCGCATTTTAGTTGCCTTGAAAAAAAAACCTTTACTTCGAGAGGGGGAAGGATTCTAAATATGCCACATAACATTTGCATTGGGGTGGAAAATATATTTAAAACCAAATTGCGTGTAACTGCTTCTGCTATCTAATTTGGGGCGGTAGTATAATTCACATCAGTGGAAAAATGAATCTCTGTACTGGGTCTTTCCACTTACAGAAGGGAAGAAAGAAGACTGACGTAAACCCTTTGCCAGTTGGGTTATACCGCCAGAGAAAGGGTTACACACTCAAAAGCTTCCAGAGGCCAGGTGAGTCACACCAACCTGGAGCCCAGGGGGTTCTGGTAAAGATCAGCCGCTCAGCCTCTCTACAGGGCAGCAATTGTTCCACTCCAGCTGGTCACTGCTGTGTGTGACCCCTTGTTGTGAAAGCTTCCCTTTTTTTGAGAGAGAAGCCTGAAACCAGGGTATTATGTGAAATGTATCTATTTTTCTAAAATGTTAGGAAGAAAATAAAATTAAACAATCAAACAAATTATGGTGCTGGGCCAAACAGAGCACATCCTCCAGCTGAGATAAACGAGGTAGGACCCAGGTGATAGGGGCCTGTCTTTGGCCGAGTTCCAAGCTAGACAGTACATGAGCGAAGGGGGCGGAGGGAGATAGTAGCATGCTTTGCCTCATCAATGCAGAGATTTCCGTTTTCTTGTGGGAAAGGAGCAGCCCAGATGGAGGGGAAAGAGGAGCAGAAAATGTGAGGGAGAGAAAGGGGAGAAATTGTGTGTGGGGTGTGGGACGCGCAGGGGCGAGAGTAGGGGAGGACTGTACCTCTGTAGGTCAGGGAGTTTGTGGAGGGCTTCAGTTGTGCACTCAGGGAAGGAGGCTGTGTGCCACCTGCTGTTGGAGCTGAGCGGTCAGAAGCTATCAGTTGCCTGAGGGGAGGTGCAATTGAGATAAAACGGTGGGAACAGGACCCGCCTCTTGACTCGGAGAACAGAGTCCCAGGAACTGCCCAAAAAAACCTGGTCTTGCCTGGAGAGGTAGGCAGGGGCCTTCAGTCACTTTAGTGTCTAAGGAGCAGGCAAGACCCCAGCAGGCCCCCTCCACAGGGTGCTGACCCTTTACAGGATCTCCTGGTACCACTGTACCCTGTATCTGCCGTTTGAGTGAAGTCATTTACTTCTCTGGGCCTCAGCTTCCTTTTAAAATGGATAATAATAACATCTGTGTCACCTCCCCACAAAGTTCCGGCAAGGGCTGACCGAGGTACTATATGAGAAACACTTTGTGAAAGAAGAGAACCAGATACATGGGAGGTCCTGGTGACAGATGATATTCAGTTGCTCTGAACACAATGCTACTTACCTGATTAAAACTGCCTAACAATGACGGAACAGCACTATCCCCATTATACAGAGAAGAAAACTTGGCGGGCAGTTGGCACAACCAGTTCTGAATGACTCTAAGTATTATAGTCTCAACAGCTATGTGCCATCTTATTTTCATAATCATTCTTAACATTATGCTGGCTGCGTATTAGAGAATATTGATCTTGTGTGTGGTGGGTTTTTTTTTCTCTTAATATGTTAGTTTTAGTGAGTAGTACTTACTAGGATTTTTAAATAGTGTCTTGGCCATTCATTCAAACACAGGTCTAGTGAAAACCTACTATGTGCCAGGCTTGGTGCTATGTATTAAGAATCCTCCATGAACAAGAGACGGAGGGTCTCTTGCCTTCATGGGACTTACAAGGCAACAGTGGAGAAAAAGCACTAGACCATTACAGTGCCACGTGCCAAAGGGAAGGTTTGGTCTGAGGGAGGACGGGACATTCCTAAGTCTACAGAGTCAAGAGGAGTGAACGGAGGAGAGCTGGTGCACAGTGAGACGTGTTCCCAGCAGTGGGAACAAAGAGCAAGCGAGACCGCCAGGAGGAGAGAGAGGGTATTCAGCAACGAAGGAAATGAAAGTGATACTCTTAATTTAAAAAAAAACAAACAAAAAAACAGATTCTTGCCGAATGCTGTTCTTTAAACTTGATCAAGATATACTTGACATACAATAAGATTACGCGCATTGAAAGTGTACAGACTGATGAGTTTTGACATTCTTAGACACCTAGGAAACCACCGAGAGGGTGAATCCCATCACCCTTCAAGGTCACTCATGCTGTAAAAGCCCCCCCTCCACCCCTCCCCACCACTGGCAGCCACCGAGCTGCTTTCTGTGACTATCACTCAGTTTGCATTTTCTAGAATTGTGTCAACCGAATGTGTCATGTCGATGAAATCATACAGCGTGTACACGTTTACCAAGCTTCTTGTGCCCGGTGTAATTATTGTGTGATCTTTCCTTGTTGCATATGACAATGGTGCCCTTCCATTGCTGAGTCATATCCTGTACTGTTTGGAAATCGGCTTTATTTTATATTTTGTTTCCACTTAATATATCAAGATAGCTGGGCTCGAGGTCAGATTGCCAGAGGTCAGCTATCGGCCATGCCACTTACAAAGGGATGACCTTGGGCAAGAAGCTCCAATATGCTACCAGTTTCCCCAGACCTCAACGGCCATGTCTGCTAAAATGGGACCCCAGGAGCACCCGCTTGGGAGGCATGCTGTGAGTGTGGACAAGATTATGTGTGTGCCTGTGCTTAGAATGGCTCAATAAAAGGCATCGGGAAGGTTATTGCTATTATCACTGCTACAGTTAACACATGGCACATTTTAAGAAAAAGTCAGACATAGCCATGGAACACCGATGTGACTCTGAAGCTCTACAGCAGGGAACAGAGACCAAGTTCCCTGCCTGGTGACCCATCAGGATCCAAGGCGGACAAAGCAGTTTCCTCCTTCTGGTTGCTCCTCAAATTCTCTTCCTTGATAGAGCACAGTGGCACCAGAAGTGGGGTTCGGGCTGGGAACAAGCTGAAAGAGTCTCTACGGGCAAGAGAAATGGGAAGATGGGTTCACTGCAATCGATTTGGTCCTGCAGTCACACCTCATCATTCCAACCCCAGAGACCCACACCGTCCTCGACTCTCGCTCAAATAACATTAGATCATTTCTAACTCGCAATGACTGTGTGATGGTTAACAAGAAGTTTCTCCAAGACTTACCTGCAAAGGAGTTGTCTGCCTTGTGTCCTGACCACCGTGATATAAATTCTGCAAAATATCATCTGTATCAATGCTATCCTCCCAGTGCCCTATTTCATCCTCATCCAGGGCAAGGAGGGCTATGTCTTCTGATAGAAATACACCTAAAAGCTCCAGCACTGGAGTCAGCTGAGCTCTGGGTTCAAATCCCAGACCTATCACATATGAGCTCTTGAACTAGAGCCAGCTCCGTTAACTCGCCTGGGCCTCATCTTTTAAATGGGGATAAAAATCATCCCTAAATTCATGGTGTGTTGTGAGGACTAAAAGAGAAAGGACAAGAGGCGTGCATAGCCCTGAGCGCAGTACCTGGCAGCAGGAAAAGGCCTCGTCTACGAAGTAACAGGGTCCCCATACACCTCTGTGTGTGTGTTGTAAGCAAACACTTTCTCTAAGTCCCCTGCTTTTTGTCCTCCTTAAATCGCACCTTGTGCAGAAGTCTGCCTCTTTTAGGCCTCTCGCCAGCTGGACATGAGGCCCCACAAGGAACGGTCCTCAGGAACTGAGGCTAAGCTGGGAACTAAGTGGGGCGTGGAAATTGTCTTCAGGAAAGGCGTATTTAATTAGCTCTGGGACTCGGGCTGTGGGTAAGTGTTACCAGGAGGCAGATGAGGAACTGCTGCTACCAGAGGCGTCTGCAGACGGAAGTGGACTGCCTCCAGGCTTGTCAGCTGCACCCTGTGGGCGTGTGCAACTGAGGTTCAATGAGCAAATGTCGAAGACGTAGTCCAGGTGATTGCTGGTGTAGGAAGCTGGACCACCTGATTGGCTTTCAGATGGATGCAGGCCAGGTGGATAGACTCAGGAGGTGGCGGACTAGGCTGAGGGTCTCCCACCCTCCTGTGGCTACAACAGTACTTCCTCTTTTATGTTTTATATATTTGGGTTCCTGAAGATTTGAAAAGATTCGGCTACTTCAAACCAAAATGGTGCTGTGTTTTTTGTTGTTGTTGTTGTTGTTGTTGTTGTTGTTTAAACCACTGTCCTGGATGACCTTTTGAGACTCTTTGAACTTTGAGCTCAGAATTCCTGCGACCCTGACAAATACACAGTTTGTCAGAACTCTTTGGGTTCCAAGTGTCAAACCTCCTCTCAGCTTGGCAGTCAGTGGCTTGAGAACCTTGCAGAGCTGTTGAGGTAACTCACAGAATTGAAAAACGGAGCTGTGCCACCCATGAGCCTCAGGGCTCGGTGCTGCCCCCAAGCTCTCTCTCTCTGTTCCTGTGACCCTCAGCTCTGCGTCTCTCGTCTCTCATTTCACCCACCTGTTGGCCTCTGGAGGACATGGAAGCCAGCAGCCTCTCTGGCAAAGAGGCAACTTTTTTTTTTTTTTAACTTTATTGGGGAACAATGTGTTTTTTCCAGGACCCAACAGCTTCAAGTCAAGTTGTTGTCCTTCAATCTTAGTTGTGGAGGACACAGCTCAGCTCCAAGTCCAGTCGCTGTTTTTAATCTAGTTATGGGGGGGGGGGCCCGGGGGGGGCGCAATCCCATGCGGGAGTTGAACCGGCAACCCTGTGGCTCAGAGCACATGCTCTAACCAACTGAGCTACCCAGCCAACCAAAGAGACAACTTCTTGCTCCCACCATCTGCATATGGACCCAGGCAAGGATTATAATCAGTGCACTCTGAAAACATAACACATCCCTTCAATGGACAGTGCGCCGTGATTGTCAAGCTTGGGTTACACACTCCCGATTGCCGGAATAAAGGCTCGCAGGGAAAACAAAAAGCAAAAAGCAGCAGCTGCTTCCAGCTTGGGAGTCCTTAAGAAAACATGTACAGGAAACGTCAGCAAAAACCTTTGACCACCCACCACCCCAGGAGTTCCAACTGAAAGAGTTCCTACTGGGTATTGACTTGAGGTCAGACACATTACATGCATTTGTTCTTTTTCAATTGACGTAATAATGATCTGAAGTTAACTTTTTTTTTTAAATCATTTTGCACATGAGAAACCAAGGCCAAAGATGTTAAATTAACTTTCCCAAGACTCACAGCTAGAGGTAAGAAAGCTGGGGCCAGGGCCGGCCGAGTGGCGCGGTGGTTAAGAGCTGGCTTGGGACACCAGCTCTGAGCCGCAGGGCCTAGGTTCGGATCCCACATGAGGGCCAGTGACGCTGCGCCCTCTACAGCTAAGATGGTGAACAA